AAATTCGCTTTGTCACTTTTGCTCTTTACACTTAACTGAATTAATTAATATTAGCACTTAAATGTTTAATAATCTCGTCTTCAAATCACAATAACTTCACCACTCCAACGTATGGCCAATTCCCAATTAAAATCTGAAATGTAACTCGCGCGGAAGAAAACCTTTTTTCGCTTCTTTTTTTTTTATTTTTCTTTGTTCTTATTTATGTTTTGCTTTATTCGCTACTTTGTTGTACAACAGCTGATTGCATAGGGCGAATGATATAAAATATTTTTATGATTTCAAATTATGAAACTTCATTAATAATCGTCATAAATTTATTTGGTAATTTCTTGATATCATATTGAGATATAAAATAACAGTAGGAATTACAAAATTAATTCAATATCTACTTTATTACACAAATCATAATAAATTTTTATAACTATCATAAAATCATAAATGATTGAAAATGACTAATACAAAAATTATATATATTTATTTTTATTTATTTTTTATTTATGTATATTAATATATAATAATAGAAAAAGAATAAAAAATAATTAAACAATCATCATTTCTATTCGAACCCTTCTAACTTTTAAACAATAATTAAAAAAAAAATACTTAAGTTATAATGACTTAATAAAATAATAAAAATCCGCGATAAATCGTTCGTGCGACAGTTTTTTCATCATACTAAATTTTTATAACTATTAAATAAAAATGTGTAAAATTATAATAGATAAGTTGCTGCAATATGTTATAAAATATATATATCTAAAGTACCTTCTCTTTTTAAACTTATGACGTTTTTGATTTGTAAATCTGAATTCAATTTAGTTTTAATCTAGATTTGTCAAATTTTGTTGCTCAATCGAACAATTTTAAAGTAATCTAAAATTTTTGTAGTCTTGTTAGTAAATAAATCATTAATATGTTCACACTAACTTCATTTTCTGTGTAGTTTAACGCAGCATTTATCAAATAATCTTGAAAACTATATTTACATCTACATTTGCAATCAATTTTTTTTTTGATTTTTATTTTTTTTAAACAATAATTAAATATAGAAACAAACAAATTGAGTACATATGGAAACATGCCACACTATTTTATCTACCAATTCATTTAAAACAGTTGTTAGTTTTAGGGTAATTTTGCTAATCAGGCAAAATATCTAGAGTGTTATAAACTTATCTCGAGTGTTATACATAAATCTCAAGTGTTATACAGATTTATCAACCGAAAATGAATATTTAACTAAAAGTGAAAGAAAAAGTTACCCAAGATGTGTCAATTGAAAATGTCATTTAAAAGTTGATACAGTGCTCTAAACCGGCAATTAACAGAATAAAACAGTCATAAACGAAACTTTCCAACGATATTTAATCGTCATTATATCAAATGAAAAATAATGGGAGTAGAAATATTATGAATTGTTGCAGAGAAAATATATAAATAAAAAATATATAAATAAATATATAAACAAGATTTATTACAATTAAAACGCAGGGTTGTATTTGAATTTTGTATTTGTATATTTAATGAAATAATATAGTATTAGTTTGAGTTCAGAATGCAATTAAAATAAACATGTTTTTTAATATATTAATTATATGAAATATCAGCGCTAAATATAAGCAATAAATAAGAGAAATAACTTTAATGTGAATAATAGATTAATAAATTTAGCAGAAATATGCATATAACAAATTATTTTCTTACACATTACTTTTAAACGTATGTTTGTAACTAGTATTTATTTCACTATTTGGCGAATTAAAGTTTTAGTTAATCATATATCACTGTAACTAATTTTAAATAGATTTTTTATATTAATTATAAGCTTGCATTTAAAATGCATTAATATTTTTTTTTTGAATTTGTTGAAATTTTTATATTTTTGTAATTTGTAATTTGTATATTTTTGTATAATTTGTATTAATATTAAAGTAAATTTTTAAATATTTTATACTCAATTAATTTATAAAAGAGAATTTTGAGAAAACTTCAAGTTTTCACTTTAGTAATTGCAAAAATTATTTATTTATTATTTTTAAAATTTATTATTTTTGCGTTTGCTACGAAAACTTACGTCTGAGAGCTTTTAATTCTCTTATAAATTTCTTAAACTAAAAAGAGAATATCTCTGACACCAAATTTTTTGAATTAAACAGTTGTGCTTTCATGAATATATTTTTTGTTGTCTTGTTTTAGTAACCAAAAGTAGTGTTGCGTTGTGCCGTTTTAAAATAGCAATAGCACTTAAACTTAAAAAATAAATTCATCTTTATTTAAATGTAATAAGTTACTACAAATAATATGCGTGTATAAATATAATAGCATATGATATTTGAACAATATTGAATAGTTTGATTGTATAAAGAATATTGAATCGAACATAAAACAATTGATTGTTTAACTATTATTAAGCTATAGCAAATAAAATAGTAGTAAAAGTTGTTACAAGCAACCCAGACAATTTAAATATTGATTGCTCGCGTTGCCAGCATACACTTTCGTACCATCACGTAACGTCCTTGCTGGATAGTTTCAGCCGTCTTTCTGCTGTTGTCATCCAATAAACTTTTTACTTCGTTGTCCGGGATCGAACTTAACAGGAGTCTCTTACGTAAAAAATTATATCAAATAACTTTAAAACAGAAAAAATAGTGTAAATATAATTTTTAATGTATATTTAAAAATTGTTGCTTTTAATTCAAATATATATAGAGCAGTTATTATAAGTGTTGAATAGATAATTTAACGGTATTACGTAAATAATGCAAAAAATTAATGTACAAACGTGTAAATTCGTGTAATCAAAAATGAATTTTTTTTGTATTTAAGATGTAAACCGTGTCGTTATTTTTTAAAGATAAAATATTTTAAGGATTAAGCTAATTTGTTTGTGCAAAAAAAAAAATTAGATTAAATATAAAAACAATAACATTTGCAGTTGAATTTGTGTCAAACATTTAATCGATATTTGAATTGCTTGTGGCAGACCAACTTTTTAGCCGTTTTCACTAATTGACTGTTATTACATAAGTTGCACTTATAGTTTTTAAAGGATTCTAGATAAAAGATATATAGTTAGTTTTAAATATTAGTGTAAACTGCTTTAATTGAATACACAATTAGAATATTTATAAACGAAGTGCTATAAAAACAATTAAAGATTTATTTTTGCAAATTTTTGTAAAAATATTGTGAAAATAGTTAGTAATCACACTTAAGGAAATTTCTTTTATTCAAACAGTGATATAATATATAAAATAAAAATGCTATTTCTTTATTAACTATAGTAGCTTCAATAACTTCCGTTAAAGTAAGCTTTTACTGCTAAGTGTAATTGCTGCACCATTGTTGGATTGTTTGATTCATGAAAGAATAAAAATATCCTGTCACATTCATGGCAGAAGGAAAACATAAAAAGAATCAAAAGCTTTTGATTAGTTTTGCGGTTTTTGTTTTGCATGCACTGACACACAAATGCAGTATAAAATCAATTTTTGATTTGTACATTTGTTTGTTTGGTATCGGGTATCGAATTGTACCGTACAAAAAAAGCAATTGCAATAACAGAAACCGTTTTAATCCAATTAGTTTTGTACCTCTTTTCTGCTAACACGCATCGCCATATTTTCTCTTTCTAATTAGGTCGCCCCCACTTTGTCCTCAAAATCCACTATTATACGCTGTCGTACACTTATTTCTCTTTTAATGGCGGTATGGCGGTGTGCTTAAGAGCATTGCCACATGGAAAAAAAGAACAAGAGAGCATGGAAACAATTGTGTGTGAAGCTTATACAAGCTATGCGTTGCTCCACATTCAATCCATTATTTCTGCCATTTGCAGCAGTTAAACACATTTGTTTTCAAACTTCAAACGAAACGAATTTTTTGTTTTAGTTTTTTGCATGTTTTGCTCTAGTCATAACGTAAGAAAGCATAAATTTTATAGTGAATATGACGTGCTATAACCATTGACGGCATTAGCAGTTCTAAATTTGTTTCAAAAATTAAAATAAATATTCTTTTTATAGTTTATAATTTGCGTCTTTTTAAATACTGTTTCAAAAAATTTTATTTCAAATACAGACATAAAATTATTTATATAATTTTTCTATAGTATATGGCAAATCAAAAATACATTGTATAAATTTATTTATTAACGTGTCATTTTTGATAAATGCAATTTTATTTTAGTCAAGTGTAACTAGAATGTCGGTATAACAACGAAAGATACTGAATCGAGTGTGTGTGAGCATTGATCGTTACATCGGAACAATTGTTTTATACTTCGTTTTGCACATTTTGGCTATTTTCTGTAAAATAGTTACTATCTGTTTGTGTTCGTACGCTAACTTCGAGTTAATAACAGAATGTCGCCTCTTGCTGAAAGGACTCTGCTGTTAGTTGGTGTTCTGTGCTGTTTACAAGGTAAGTGTGTCGCTGTACATAGCATACAAAATGCTATGTGCAGCAACTGAACTTAGTACACTGTTAAATAGATAAAATAAGGCAAAAAGAAAACTCATACACAAATGAGATTCTCAAATGAGGTCAGAAGTACTTTTCCGTGCAACTGTTGCAACTATTATTTATTATCTGTGCATCGAAATTAACAAGGTGAAATATTGTTTAGTCGGCTGCATAAATAGCTATAGTATGACGTAAACAACGCTGCTTATTTCAAGATTTTAAACATTTTCCTTATCGATTATTCGCATCAAAAATTTGTTTAATTGTTTTTGTTTAAAAATTAATTAAATTATTTGTGCAAAAATAAAACGGAAAAAATCAAATTTAATATTAAATCTCATAAAATATGTAAAAAAGTAGCATATATAAAAACAATAAGAAATTTAAATATAAGAATTCTAAAAAGTATGATTATGTTTTTAACAATTACAGTTATAATTTTATATACATTAAAATTGTTAAAGTAGAAGTTTTTTTAAAAACTTTCAAAAAAAAATTATTAAACTTAAAATGAATATCAATATAAATTATATTACCCAAACCAAATTGATGAAATAATTTCTATAAATAACACACAAATAGCAAATAAAAGCGAAAGATTGTTGCCATACGGTGAATTTGGAAAAAAATTAATTTAAAATAAAAAAAAGAATAATAAATAATAATTCTAAAGATACAAATGATCCCTACCATTTGTATGCCCGATTCATGCACGACTCAATTAAGTCATACATGCCTACGGACTAAAAAGTCCCCACAACCCAGCTCAAAATTCTAGAAATCCCTGCAGTACGACCAGTTAAGGTACTCTTTCATATGGCAGGTTAGAAGAGCACTTAGCTTCCTTTCACTCCGATTGTCTACTAAGTATTTCGTCTGTTTTAACAATGCTTATTGTTCTAAAGATTATGCACTTGCAAAGGCTCCACTCTTCAATACTTGCCAACATCTGCATTACCATACATACATAAGGGACAGAACCTTGAAGTTATATGCGAAAATTGACAGACTATCCTACTTACCACTATCTAATCTTAGAGTAATCACTCTCCGCACGGGGAGGTACGCTGATCTGAGATCAATCACTGAATAATCATGAAGCTTATAGCCAATACATAAATTAGTCAATGAGATGGGTGGGACCCTGCATTACCCCCAGCTATCAAAGAGTAAAAGTGCACAGTTGCGCTGACTCGAAAAAAGGATCAATATACATACCATAGTGGAAGAACTATTAATGTCTCTAGATTTTGTCTAGTGTCTACGAATCTTATACAGTCTCTAATTATATGGTCAGGACTCTCAATTTTATCTGGTTGAGTTAGGTTGAAGTGGCGTCCTTGTGCACCAAAACTCACTGTAGCTCAAATAATGGGTCAAATATGATACCACAAAGAATTTTAGTATTAAAAGTAATAATTTGTTGAGTAAAAATTATGAATAGTTTTTTAATAAATATTCTTAACAGCATTCGTAAGTTTTATATCAGAAATAGCGCACAAAATTAGAATTGTTCTACCAAATTGAGTTATCAGTTTAGAAAGAAAACCGCTTCATTTCACTCTCGCAAGCAGTTAGCGCTAAACTTATTATTGTAAAAGTTCACAAAATCATTTACAAAAATAATTAAGCCATACGTATACTGCACTATGTATGAATTATTCTACCAGACTGAATAATCAATTCTTAGGTAAACTTCATTACCTAACCTAATGATCAAGCAATCAATGTACCATATATACTTTATTAATATAAAACGCGGAAAAATAAAAAAAAAACACGGAGAAAGAATAAAATAAGAATTGGCGAAGAAAAAAGTCTCTGTAAATACGTAAAATACTACTGTATCATATTGGTTTGGCAGTCTATTATCAGTCGTTTTCGCATAGAACTAATCTTATACAACTTTTTTCAATTAATTTCATGTGAAGCTTAATATAAAATTCTATAAAAAATGAAAAAAACAATTGTCAATTGATATATTCTGTTAAGAAATGTTCATTGAGCCCAAAAAGTAAAAAAACAGTCACAATGCTTATTAACATACATAACTTTAAATGAGCACGTAAAGAAATTTGTGTCATGGTAGTTTTAAAAGTAGTCACAACGCATTGTGTTAGTAGAGATATACCACAACGCATTCTGGATGGTATTTAATGTAGCCTTGAAACGACGAAGAAGTTAAGTGATAGAATCAACAAAAGATTATAAACTTTACAAAAACTAATATAATAGACGACGACGAAGAAGTTACGTGATAGAACCAACAGAAGATTATAAAGTTTACAAAAACTAATATAATATAAATTATACAAGGTGCTAGATCCCAGTGGAGTACATCATTTCGACCATGGCTAATCTTTTTGTCTTCTAATCGACTTTTATTGAACAAAAGACTTTTTGTTCTTTAATTGAAAGTCAGAATCTTAGCTGTTAAAGACATCCTAACATCAAATTATTTACAGTAACCAATAGAATAGATATTATATGAGGTACTGGCTCCTAGCGGAGCAGAGCCATCACAATAATTTCACTCCCACATCATGTTTTTTGCTCAATGAACGTTTTCGGCTTTTGAACCTTACATATAAAATAAACTTAAAAACTAAAAGTGTTAAGTTGTTTTAAAATTTATTTTATATTTTGATATTTCATTATGAAGTTGACACAATATTAAATTTAATCACAAAAATAAAATATATAAAATAATATACATTCACAGTATTTCACATAATAGAGCAAGCAGCATTGATTAAGTTGTTAAGTAAGTTGGGGACGTGCAAAAGATTAATAATTACTTTATGTACATATTGTGCAATTTAATAGTTTACAATTATTATTCAGTATATATATATATATATATATATATATATACACGTGTGTGTACATGAATATTTATTTTAGTACAGAATTTTAAGTAACCACTACTTATATTCATAACGCAGCTGTAGTTCTTCCACCATAAATAAATTTAAAAAGGACCTTTGTTCAATTAAATCCAAAACATAAAAATAAAAAATTGCAATATTTTATATAATATTTATTTTGAAATATTATTATAATAATATAAATATTTATATAATCTTAAACTAGGTTACATATTCTATAAAAATTTATTACGTATACGCCACGATGTACACATAAAACTCGTAGTGTACACTCAGAGTGTACATTCACAGTGTACCGCATTGATGTTTTTATTATTTTAAAGCAACAAATTTTAACCTTAAAACAGGTGCATGCGTCATTTTTGTTATTGGAAAAAGTATTCTCCATTTATATGATTCATATATTCTATTAAATAAATAAATATGTACACTGTTATTTATAAGAATGCAGAAGGTTACAAGGGATTGAATATTTATGTTATCAAAAATTCATTGAAAAATTTATATTTTCGCAAACACCTGTAGATAATAGTGTTGTATATAAAGAAAATTGACTAGAAGGCTTTCCTTAATAGTGGTTATTTAATATATATATAGAATTCAAAACATTTTAAACTTATTATTGTTTTATTGATTTATATAATTAATCGATGTATAACAATATAAACAGTAAATTCAATTAAGAAAATCTCACATTTAACCATTGTGGAACAAAGAATGTATAGTAGTATGAAAATCTGCTGCCATTTAAGTTAGGACAAACTATCCCCATACTTGTAGTGTACTTTCATAGATTATACTTCCAAAATCTTTCAAAAATGAACCCTTCTGTTGCCCAATTTAAAACTAAAAAGGAATATGATATGTATATGGTATTTTTTAAGTTCAGTTAATTAATAATTTTAGTGACTGAGAAACCCATTTGGAGAAACAAAATTATATTTTATATATTTATTTTATATATATTCTATATAATATATATTTGGTTACAATTTTTGAATAATGCTTCTGTATTTCACTACCATCAAAGTTTATAATTATTTTTAATGTGAATTATATTATGTTTACACTTACAGTTTTCGAATCTCATTACCATTTTACAAAGATTTTGTGTGTATATTATTTTATTCGAATTTGTCGTTTTAATAGCGATAGTGTAAACATCTTGTTAGTAATGTTAGCCAGTACTGGTACCCTTAGCTAATTTTTTATTTTTGTATTATACATGCATTTCTATTCTTCAATTTTAGTAACATTAATTACTTTATATACAAAAAGTTTGATACATTGATAAAGTAACTTATATCTAAATTAGACTCTCATATGGAGCGAAGCACTACAACCATCAGATCTTTGACTTCAGTAATTTTTTCCACAATTCATTTAACACACACTAAAATCTCTTCGACAATATTTAGCATAATTTTTGGCTGATATTAGCATTATAAATTATTCATCAAGCTATTTCTAACCTGTTCTATCTCGATAGTATGCAAAAGGTGCTAAAATCTGATGCTTTGATCCTCACACAAATTTATATCTATTTTTAAGTGATTGTAATTTTAAAACATAACTTTTCACAATAAATGTAAGTTTTATATGAATTAATATATTAAGTTCTTGTAGGTTAAAAACCTCTTAAACTTATCGAAAACTGAAATATATTTTGTTTCAAATTAGATCTCAGCTCAAAAATCAAAAGTTGGAACAAGAATACTTCTTAATTAAAGTTTCAGTACCAATGTCTTCAACTATCTTCACCTGTTGTACGGCTTTATGAAAACCCCATATAAATATATTTTTATTAAAACGTTTGTTATACTATTAAATACATACAAATATTAAATATTACTTTTAGTAGGAATATTTATTTAGTACGAACATTTTTTAGATTGCTGATATGTGCGGTTCAGTTTTTATATAAATAGTTCATTCTTATGTAGTGTTTGATAAAAGTATTCAGTTACTTTCGAAGTATAACAATTGTCAACAGAAATGAAATTACTTGGTTATATGTAGCATATATCTTTGGAACTCTTTTTCTTACGGCCCTTACAGAGCTGTCATTCT